GGATGGATGGATGGATGGATGGATGGATGGATGGATGAAACAAGTGTGAAGTGGATTTTCATATAAATGAAAATCTGAAAAGTACTTCTACTAAATTTTCTCTCTATAAACCCCTAAATTAGAACCAGTACATCAATCTTTCCTTCATTTCACTCATTTCAGAGCAAAGTCAGGCTGTAGGTGTTCAATGCAGGCCTCACAGCTTCGTTACGCAACAGTAGAGAACAAACAGCATCATGAAGACCCCGGAACCCAGCAGACCGGTTAGAAAGGACGACACAAAAAAGTTTAAAGCAGGATCAGATACAAAAAATAATTCCTGGAGCTTTAAACCTCACATCTGAACATGGACACTGTCTGTTTTGTCTACATAGACTGACTGGCTAGGAGAGCATTAGCTGGAAGAATCAATTCACCAACCAAGTGTGAGTGTTGCATTTTAAATGGAGTTTATGCCGTTATAGTGAGAAGAAAAAAAGCCCAAAGAAGTCTCTTTTGCATCTTGTTACAAGCCATGCAGCGGCTATGCAAACATGTGGAAGAATGTGTTCTGGTCAGAAGTGACCAACATTCTGGCTTGCATGTGATTCTCATTGCAAAAGAAAATAGATATTGATCGATGAGACTAAACTTGATCCATTTTGCAAAGAACTAAAAAAAAGAATATTAATCTCTTTGAAGCCAAAAGAAAAACCCAGAAAGACTTCTAGCTGTAATTCAAACAAAAGCTGCTTCTAAAGATGGAAGCTAAAAGCAAATGGTTATAAATATTCAAATAAGTCTTTGGTTATAACATTTATTTTTTCCAAAATCTCTGAGTTGAATGAACTCATGGAACAATGGGATGAAAAGCTCATATACTCCCTCCTTGTACTCAAGGCTTAGCCCCGACCCTTCTCACCTCTGCCCTGCTCACCAGCTTCATATACCAGCTCATCGCTCTGCAGACTGGAAACAATGCCCCTTTCTTGCATGTCTGAACGCCAGTGCAGCGAATGCAAGTAAAAAGGTTTGCTTCAAAAAGTCTAATATGATGGAAAACCCGCTCAATGATTTTGTACCCATGGTGGGTTTCCATGGCAGTCTTTCCTCGCAGACGTCTGGACGTAGCCGCTATGCAAAATAGAAGCTTCCAACTAGGAAGCTGGAAAGACAAGAGCCATGAAATTGGTTATGCATGCATCGGTAGGATTACCACCCTCTCTTCTCCCCCTGCCTCTGGACTAAAAGGCGCAGCAACAGCGGACGAGTTTTCTGCAGAAATAAACCAGAGGGCCAGTCTGGTTTGAAAGCACAGGGATGGTATTGTGTTCAAGGATGGTAAAAGTGGCACCACATTTGTTTCCTATCAGATGATTCAAGTGTCCTGTCATGTTTTCCAGACGGCGGGCTTTTATTTTTTCCACTGCAGCTAACTGTGCCTTCCATCAAGGACATCCTGAATGGTGCTCCTTCTTCCCATCAGTGTCACTGAAACACGTGTGCACCCTCCAGACTGAGACACACGAGCCCCAGCAAGTGTCTAACGGACACTTGAGCATGCCAGCAACTTTCCCTCTGCTGACCAAAGCGCTGAATGTTTCTTAGGTTACAGTGAGTCATTGTTTTAATGAGATCTGAAGCTGTCAGCCATAGAAGCACCTCTTGGCAGGCTGCTGATGTGTCACAACAAGTTACCGTCCAACCCATCACTTCTCCACATTTCTGGAGTGTTTGCACAGCTGGTGCTGCTGGCCAGGTGAGACCAGGCACCTGTGGAATGACAGGATGAGCCTTCGCCCTAACTGCGAAGGAAAAGCCGAGGTGTGCACGGGTGAAAAGTTCCCAACCCCAATTTCAGCTGACAAGTGCTTTAATTCACTGAAATAAACAGATGTTTGAGCTTTAAGATGGGAGTAATTCAGACATTAATGATGGGTAAGCTTTTCTGAGAGCATCAGCCTTTTTTTTAGGGGTGACTGGAATATTTGGCCAGATCAAAAAGAGCTGCTTCACATAATGGCTTTACCACCAGGCGCAGTGCAGGTTTTTCCGGACTCTCGTTGCTGCTTCTAATCCCAGTCCCACAAATATCTGCAGCTTCCGAAATGTCTTGAACCGCGTCCCTTTCTCTTTCTCTCTCTCCTCTTTCTTTCAGTTTTTTTATTCTCCCCTCTCTCTGCCTCTTTTTGATACGGTGATGTCTGACTGGTGGCATCCTGTGACGTTTGGTGACTCTTGGGATTTTTGTTCTCCTCAGACACATCCAGATGTGTTGCAGAGAAGAAGTACACAGAACAACAAGCCAAGAAGCAGGTCTTTGTTCCAGTTTGCAACCCCGATGGCACTTATAGCGAGGTATCAAAACAGTGCAACCCAAATGACGTTTGAATTCATAATAAAAGGCAAAACATTTGTCTAAGGAGTTCGTTGTTTGTTCAGCTGTTGCTCTTTGGCGTGAAGTAAGACTTGGAAGTTTTTATTTTAGGTTCAGTGCCACAGCTACACTGGATACTGCTGGTGTGTGACCCCCAATGGACGACCCATCAGTGGTTCCTCCGTGGTCAATAAAAAACCTCGATGCCAAGGTGGGTAAATTATATTTTAACTTATTATTTTTATAAGGTATTTTATCATTGCTACCTGTTGATCCTCCTAAATGTATCACTTTAAAACCACAAACATTTTTTTTTATGTAAGATATGATTATTCTTCTCAAAACAGCTAACCTTAGTGGAAGGGGCGGATTTAGGAAATTTGGGGCCCTAGGTAAAGACATGCAAGGGGCCCTCTGAATTGAGAAGACAAAACAAAAAAGACCCATTCTACAGATAGAGAAATGCTAATAGAATAGACATCCATTATCTCTTCTAGGTTTTGTCCCTCTCTTGTTGTTTTCCTCTCTATATTTTGT